GTCAAAGAAAATTCTTTCAACTCATATCTACTCAGAGCGGTGGTTGAGGCCGATTGCCTCAACTGTCAACCACGTGGTTGACAGAGGCCTCAACCCTCAACCAAGTGGTTGACAGACCCCTTCAACCCCTCAACCACGCGGAATGGCTGTTCACACCCCCCGCGCAAAGGTCTGAACACACATTCTCTGTGAACCATTCATGTCGTCTTCTTTAACGCCTGGATGCTGCATCACACCTCCCATTCACGCACGTAGCTGAAGCAAGTATCGTAAAAACGGCGCGTCGAAGGCCCCCGCACGGGGGGATCCCGGCCGACGTCATGGTCGTCCGCGGACGCGGCCCTCCGTCTCCGGAGACATTACCGAACTCAAAACTGCTTACCAAAGCCAGATACGAGCTCAGCTCAGTGAGATCTAGCAGCACATACCCTCAGTATCCAGAATAGCAAAGTCTGAAAAAGTCGGTCCGGCCGCGCAGAGCGGTCTGGCTGTCTGCAGAGCTTCCGTCCGGGCCCTGAGAAATGTCGGAGGCATGTCGGCCCATGTTCGCGATTTTGATGGCGTTGCCCTTATTGCACGTGAAACAGACCGCGCCGGCCACGCACCCTTGTTCCCGGAGGCCAACTCGAACAGGTTTGAGCAATGGCCGCCTTCCATGCTCGACACGTCCGCCCGCCATCAAGTTGTACGATGAAAAATGCAGCAGGAACTTAGTTGCCTCGAAGGCCGCCCTGCTCGAAGGCCGCCCTGCTCTCGGCATTGTGTTGTTGACTGATAGCACTGTCTGATCCAACCAGAAAGAGCCGTCGAAGAGCCGTCGAGAGCTACATGAGACCCAAGTCGTCATGATGTACCAGAAAACGAAACTAGCGCCAAAATTGAGATCTCAGGATTGACATTATCATTAATTTCTCGCGCCTGCTTTCGCTGCTTGAGGCTCGCCAAACAGATACTGCGTCTATGACCGTGTGCAACGTCAAGTCGTGAACCGCGACAAGACCATCGCGCCAACCGCGACTCTGTTGCTTTTATGCGGCAGCATTCACCGTGACTCTTGCCGTGAATGGTTAGTGACCGCAATACTACGCCGTGAGCTGAGCTTCACCAGCCGTTTCTCTTCCTTCCCTTGCCTTCTCTTGCCGTCCGTTCTCTGTGCGCATTCCACTGCATGCATGCGGCATCACAAGCGTCTTCTGCCGGGCGCGCATCTGAACTCGTACCTGGTAGGCCATCGCTTTGCTGAAGGATCAGGCGCCTGAATGGCGACAGTGAGCGTCTCCTACTTATGGGTACGAGGACCGCAAGAGCGCGCCGCAGGCGAAGCGATTTTTTTGGCGGCAGGGCTGTTCCAATCTTGTGATCACGCGCGAGCCCTGTGAATAGGCCCCGGAGCCCTCAACCCCCAACTAAAGGGTTGACGGGGGGTCTCAACCGTCAACCAGATGGTTGAGGGGGGGCCTCAACCCTCAACCCGTCAACCACCCCTCTGTGCAGACTCATAGACTGGTTCCACAAAAGATTTAGCCCTCCCCCACGTCATGGGGCCATTCGAAGTGCCGCGGCCGGCTAGCTCGTGACGGACCGAGTCCGAGGGTTGCAGCCGTGAGGCTCGGGCCCTGGGTGCAGTCTGAGGACCCACGCCTGTCGCTCGGGCGCGGAGGCGAGCCACGAGCGCATTCGGTACCCAGGTCACCCATCTTTCCACGCCCTCATTCGAGCGCCATCGCGGACACAACACTGCCTCACGCCCTTACTCTATTGCGGCTAGGCTACTCAAGCAAGACCTGGTGGCATCCCGTTTGGCCAGCTCAACAACAACTTCGCGCAGGTATCGCGCCAGGCCCTACCACCGCTCGCCGCCTTGCCGGCACGCTCGCGCTCTCCACAGATCCAATGCGCGCGAATACTCCGACCGGCGCGCACAGCCACTCCGCCGCCGCCGCTCACGCGACCGCAACGCCGCGCCGCGACGTGCGCACCGCACGCAGCGACGCTTACCCGTCGGCCGTGGCACGCCGGCTCACGCATATCGCATTGCTCACACTGTGCCGCAGGCGTTTGGCTCCCATGCGCCATGGCGCTCGGCGACGGGCGCATGCTCGGCGGCGAGGAGGCGGCGAGCTGCATGGAATACGGCGTGGTGTCGGCGTCGACCATGGCGTACCACGCCGCAAGCCACACGCTGTGCGTCGCTTCAAGACCTCGGAGGCTGTCTGAAACGGCTAGCCCAGCCAGAATCACGCAGAATCTTTTTACTGAGCCGTCATTGCACCTCCGGCGGACGATTTTTGGGGCTTCGCCGGCAAGGCGCCGCAGCGGGCATTGGCGCACTCTTTCCTGGTGGTTGCCATTGCTTCGCTTCATCGGCCGGCGAGAATCAAAGCACGAGCCGTGCTACCAGCGGAGCACGACATGGAGAAGGCATCGCGGCTTTGCACGCCCCCAACATTCCCCTGACAGCAGCGCCCCACGGCGTGGGCTGCGAGGTCACTCGGGGTGACCCAGGGGGCGGCGGGGGAGCACTCTCCCGCCGGAGTAGCGGGCGGTCTTCCCGCTCCTCGATCGTATTTGAGGTGCATCCACATGCCCCGCCCACCACCTTCCCGGCAGCTCCACCCGCTCGGTGACGTCCTCATCTTCTCCCCCCCTGCCCCGCCCCCCTTCAGGCAAGGCCCTGGCCACCAAAATCGCGCTCTGCGCTCCGGGAACGGGCAGCAGCGCGACGCAGTTCGAGAGCGAGCGGCGGCGGCGGCTTAGCACCAACCATGTCAGTGCAGGGGCTTGCTGCGTGGGCCCCCGCCACCGGACTCCGTCGGGCTCGCGTCTCCCTGCCCGCTGAGGGGAGCGCAGTGTGTGTGTCTATGTCTGTGTCTGTGTCTGTGTCTGTGTCCCTGTCGTGTCGTGTGTGTCGTGTGTGACTCTCGCAAGCTCGCCTCCCATCGTCCATCCATCGACCGAGTGCGAGCCATGCAGCGTCGAATGCAGCGTGCTCACAGTGCCGCTCGCAACGTCAGGTGTCGTCCGAGGATTCCTCTAGGGCCCCAGCACGAAAAAAGAAAGCGTCTTGAAACCCTATTCCACCGAGGAGCCCGAACCCGCAGCGTCGCGCTTTCGCAGTTCGTGGCCACCCCTCGACCGCTGCTGCTGCCATGCACAAGCTCCTCGCCACGGTCATCCTCGCCTCGCGCGTCGCACACCGGCCTCCGCTGCGAGCCGTGCTCGCCCGCGCTCCGCCACGCGCTGCCAGGCTCTACGCGGCTGCCGGCAGTGCGATAGAAGGCCTCGACACAGAGATCAACCTCGACGGAATGCGCAAGGAGTCGCAGCGCAAGCTTTACCGCGCGCAGAAAAAGGCGGCAAAGGCCCGGGAGCGCGCGGAGCTCTGCGACGCGCGCATGGAGGAGCTGCTCTCCGACGAGGACGCGGCGCTCGAGGCGCTCGAGGCGCTTCCCAACTGCGACGAGCTGCGCGCCGCGGCGGCAGCCGAGGCGGAGAGGGTGGAGCGGCTGGACTCGCTGGTCCAGGGCCTCAAGACTTGCACGGCTTCGGCCGACGCCGCCGACGCCACTCCGCTCGCGCAGCTGCTAAGCCTCGCGGCCGACCTCGGCGCGGCACCGCGGCCGGCGCCATCGCGAGGTCGGCCGCCCCACACGCCGGCTCGCCCTCGGCCGCAGGCGTGAGCGACCAGCCACCGGCTCGGCCACCGCCGAGACCGAAGAAGCCAAAGGGCCCGCGCGCCAACCCGCGCCTCCCCTACCCAACCCGAACCCGAACCCGTACCCGTAACACCTTACTCTAGGCCCGCGCGCAAAGCCGCGCCTTCCCTACCGCGTCTTCCGGAGCGAGGGCGGCGCCGAGATCCGGGTCGGCAAGCAGGCGAGATGCAGCGGAGATGTGGCCGAGAGGTTGTGGCCGTGATCCGCGCCTCGCGAGCGGGGAGGGCGAGCGTGTGGCGCTTGCCCGGCCAGGCGTCCGACAACGACGCCCTCAGCACCGACCCCCTCCACCGCGACGCGGACGACTGGTGGATGCATGCGGCGGGCTGCGCAGGTGCGCTGGCCAGGGACCGGCCCGCCTCGCGCGCCCCGAGTGAGCGAGCGTCGGCTGCCGCAGGCTCGCACGTCGTGATTCGCGCGGAGAGCGTCGGCGACGCGGCGACGCTGCCGCGAGAGGCGAGCGGGAAGGGCGGGGCCAGGGGTTAGGATGAGGGGAGGGGGGCATGAGCTCGCTGCTCCGCGGCAGGTGGAGCTCGACGCGGCCGTCCTCGCGGCGAACTACTCAAAGGCGGCGCGCTCCGGCTCGGTCGGCGTGAACCTGTGCCGCGCGAGGCAGGTGAGCAAGCCGGCCGGCGCCAAGCCGGGGCTGGTGCAGCTGTCGGGCGACGTGCGCACGCTGAGGCTCAACTGGAGGAACGAGAAGCGGCGGCTCGAGCGGCTGCGCGACGCGCTCGAGGGCTGAGCCTGGAGCTGAGGCCGGTGAGGGGCCCGTCTTTTACGATAGAGCATATGGGAGAGAATTAGAGCTGGTCCCACCGCCGCGCCTGTGGTCCTGCTGTGGTCTACGCCGGGGCGCACAGCCAACGAACGTACACACCGCCTGTGCACAGCGCCCCCACCGCCCGTCGAGGACCACACGACCGCCATGCGATCATCCACACGCGGGAAAAAAAATACGTGGCGGACGGCTAGGCCGTCCGCCGAGGAGACGCCCCTGGCACCTCAGTCTCTCTAACCGCGTCGACATTCCAGGATCGCGCACGCTGAGAGTCCGGGCGTGGCGACGGCCCGTCGCCGCCGGTGCCGGAGCCGTGCGGAGCCGCGTTGGCTGGTGCGCCGCCGCCGGCGACGCTCCGGGTCGACGGACGGCGCGGCTACTCCGCCCGCGTCGTTCTCCTCCCTCCGCCTCCGCTCCAACTCGCCTCACTCGCGCGCCTCGAGCTTCTCGCGCAGCTCCTCGGGCGTCGATCGGTAGAGGGTGCCGCAAAACTCGCATCTGGCCTCGATGACCTCGTTCGAGGTGAGCATCTCCTCGAGCTCCTCTCGCGGGATGAGCGCCATCGTCCGCAGCACGCGCGCCTAGAAGGGGCGGAGACGGCTCTGACAAGGCTCCCCGAGGGGTGCCGTCGTCCGCAGCCCGCGCCTCAGAGCAGGGGCACGACTCCGCCAAGCCGGCGACCGGCTTGTCGTCGGCGAAGACCGGCTCGAGTCCGTCGAGCAGCAGGTCGACGATCTCGCGCGGCCCCAGCCCCTCCCGCACCAGGCTGGTCGGCGAGCGGCTCGCCAGCTTGGCGATGTTCTCCTCGAGCCGCACAATCGACTCCTCCGCCGCAAACGGCAGCAGCTGCACGTACCAGCCCCCGCCAGCGTCCACCCGCACGCCCGCACTCGGCGGCGCGTCGGCGGCGGGCGGCTGCAGCTCCCCGCTCTCCTCCCTGCCCTCCGCCGCGCCGCCGGCGGCGACCGGCGACACGAATACGCCGGCGGCGAGGGCTCCCTGCCGCTGCTCCGACTCGAGCAGAAAGTAGTTGATGTCTTCCGGGATCTCGCCGGTCCGGATCTCGGTGATGGACGAGTACTGCGAAGGCAGGTCGGCGCCGGGAAGATGCTTCTGGCGCACCACCTGCAGCGACCCCTTGCCCACGCCGCCTCCCACGTCGAGCTTGCCCGCGCCGGTGGGCGGCAGCGTGACGGCGGGGTTGCCGACGTAGCCGCGCGACTCGAGCTTGCCGTTGGCGGTCGCCATGACGCCTCTCAGCGGTCCATCACCGTTGAACGTGACCTGGAAGGTCTCCTCGTCCTTGAGCCCGTCCGCGACGAGGAGCGTGCAGGTGAGCGCGCGGCCGAGCGCGGCAGCGGCGAGCATGCCGAGGCCCTGCAGCCGGGTGGCCTCCGCTACGAGCGGCGTGGTCACCACGGCCTTTGCCGATATGCTCCCGTCGGCGCTGACGGCGGTGGCCATCCTGCCGCCGGTGCCGGTCGCGGTCTCTACAGCGGCACACGCACGGACGAGCGAGCCACGGCCGCCCGCTATGCTGGCCAGAGAGCGCCGCCCCGCTATGCTGGCCAGTGGCGGCGCCCGGAGCGAAAGTGGCGGCGGCAGGCTGTGCCCGAGCGCGCAGAGGGTGGCGAGCACGAGCGACGGCATTCCCGTCCCAACCCGCTCTTCCAAAAGCCCACGACGCCCTGGGCCTTCTCCAGCCGCTGCCCTCGTGTGGAGGTTGCCAGGAACCGAAAAGAGAAAAAGCACCGAGTCGGAACCGTAGAACAGCGACTAGCACACCTTAAGAGTCCCAGAAACCCCGAGGAATAGGGAATCCCACACGACGTGTGATGCACGCCCTGCGACGCTGCGAGCGCTAAGAGACTATGGAAAGTTCACGTCATGACGGTTAGCCGCTGTCACGACGGTTAGCCGCTGTCATGACAGCTGCCAGCTGTCATACAGCAAACGACAGCGACAGTGACACCTACCTGTCACCAGCTGTCACCAGCTGTCACCAGCTGTCACCAGCTGTCACCAGCTGTCACCAGCTGTCGTTGCTGCTGTCGTTGCTGCTGTCGTTGCTGCTGTCGTAACCATCCCCGACTGGTCCAACTGTCACTGCTGCTGTAATTGCGCAGCTGTCATTCCTGCTGTCATTGCTGCTGTCATCGCTGTCGTTGCTGCTGCTGTGCTGTCATTGCTGCTGTCATTGCTGCTGTCATTGCTGCTGTCATTGCTGCTGTCATTGCTGCTGTCATGAGCACCCCCGCAGGACAGTGTGTGGTGCCACTAACGAGAGAGACAGGACACTCAAGATATAGATGCATGCGCGCGAGACCGCTCACTCGCACGCCTGACGCCACATGAGAAACCCTCTCAACAGTAGCCACGCACGGTCAGCAGCAGCGGGCGTTAGTCACAGAATCTGCAAAACCCTTGCCCTCCTTCCTCCAGCATGTGCCGTGATGGGCTCCAGCGCTGGTTCATCTGCCGCTCAAAAATCTCACGCGAGCGAACGGTGTCAATCCTCAGCCGCGAGGATTGGGACCTTGAAATCCACGATCACAAGCAAACGCGCAGAGCATTGAGCAACACACCTCGGGTTGAACCTCTCAAGGTGCATGCTGTCACCGGCAGTCTGCATGTGGATCGTAGACGATGACTATGGCTGGAATAAGCTCAAGTTCGTCACGAGAAGAGCTCCAATGCCAGCCAGCTGGCTATCCCACACGCTCGGCCGTCGGCGGATCAGCCCACTTTCTTCGTGTCAAAAGAGCGGCGACATGAAAGCTCCGAGCACACGCATGGTGCGCATGAGGCAAGCAGGTCAGGGCCTCTCGCCGGCTCCAATTGGCACCAAGTGGCACCAAGTTCCAAGTTCCAGCACACCAAGTGGGGCCGACGCAGGCGGAAAGATCACAAGCGCCCGTCGACTCTCTGAAAAAAATTTCTCAGGTCTAGCGCTATTCAAGGTAGACATATCCTCGAGACGTTTGCACGCCGCTATTCTTTGTCAAGACCTACACCGGCCAGCGCCGCTGGCTCCCCCTGGCTCACAACCCCATTCATTCACAGTGAATGAGACGAGGATCAAGGTGAGGCTCTATCGGGTCTTTTTGTGGCAGCACTCGCACCAGCACACCACACGCACCACCACCAGCACACCACACACCACACACCACACACAACGCACCCGTCCACAAGTGCACGTCCACGTGAGAGCACACACACGTCACACGCAAGAAGTGCCTTCTTACGGAGGCCGCTTGGTTGGCTCTGACCTCATGGCCTGCAGTCTTCACAGAAAGGCAACCTGCCATTGCTGATAGTTTGAGGTGAGCAATGGCATGCACATGCGCGCGTGTGGGCTGGAGGAAGGCACGGCGCGCGTGGCTGGCGTTCACTGTGCGAGTCAAAGCGCACCGGCCACGGTGGCCATTGCCGAGCCACAAGTGGCGTTGATCAGGAACTCTCATGTAGAGAGCTCTGCTCTGCTACAAGAAAGCAGGCTCACCCTACACAGAGAAATTCTGAGGCAGAGGAGCAGGAGTTTTGCAAAATGTGTGAGACGTACAAACGCTGCTGTGCATCAGGCGTTGAGAGCTACATCCACGCGCACCGGTGTCTTATTTTAGTCCATGGGGTGTACTGCACAGATGGGTGGGTGGGCGGTTGGGCCCATTCACGAGGGCTATGGCTGCCTCACGGCTGTGCCTGTGGCGCTGCCTCGCTGTCGCTGTCGCTGTCGCTGTCGCTGTCGCTGTCGCTGTCGCTGTCGCTGTCACTCGCGGGGCCCCGCGCTGACATTGTCACCGCCTGTCGTTGGCATTCACTGGCTTCACTGTCACTGTCACTATGGCTGTCACTGTTCCTGGTGCCTTTCACTCCTCCTTGGCAGCTGGCTGTCACCAGCTGTCACCCCAGCTGTCACCAGCTGTCACCAGCTGTCACCAGCTGTCGTTGCTGCCGTCGTTGCTGCTGTCGTTTCGCAGCCGCTGTCATGACATATTGACCACGTCATGACGGTTAACAGCCGTTTTAACCGTCATGACGTGAACTTTCCATAGTCTCTAAAGTGCGAGCGGCAAAGCGGGGCGGCGGGGTGCGCGCTGCGCGCTGTGCCTCTGTGTTCGTGCGTCGCCCATCTCTCCTGGAGATGCCTGCTCTATTTATATTCCCACGGCTCGCGGGGCTCAAGGGGCGCGTCGCGCCACTCGCTCTCGGTGAAACGTCGATACCGCAGAATTCTTTTTTGACATTACAACGGACGGGTTTTTGGTCACGGCAAAGAAGTTCACCTGCAGGTGCGATGAAGAGAGGGGAGTGAGGAGAGGCGTCGCGACGGGACGGGCAGGGTGATCGCCGCTTGGGACGCGCGGGCGGGCGCGCGGGCAATCTCGTCCGCCGTCGCACGCGCACACACAACAAGTGCCACGGCGAGGCGCCTTGTGAGAGAGGTGCAAACCATCCCTCAGACGGTCCTCGCGCAAACGGCGGTGTGGCGCGGGAGACCGCAGGAGCGAGAGGGGCGGGCCGGGGCCGGAGGGAGGCGGACGCGCGGGCGGGCACGCGGACGTCGAGGGTGGGGCACGGACGCGCCTGGCGCCAACCGCCTCGGCTCCGCACAGCAGCAGCCTCAGAAGCCGTCGCCCGCAACCCACAAAGCAGTCACACTCGGCGCCCACCCACCACCCACTCCCCACCCCACCCCCACCCCACCCCTTGCCTCCCAACGAGCTCGTGCGCAAGGTGTCGGCCTCGAACCGGCTCCCTGTTGTGCTCGGGGCTGATCATACGCTGGTCAATTGGGCATGTTGTAGAGTTGCCGTGACGTTCTTTGTGAGCCTTGCGCGCGTAAACCTGACGCGTCTCATTTCCTGTTCTCGAATCTTGCTTGACCAGTGTCTAAGTGTCGAGATCAATCTGTCGCTTGCCCCGCATCTCGAGCAGGGTCAGCTTCGCCTCCATCGCGCGATTGGTTGACCCAATGCATGGCAGCGGCCTGCCCATAAAACGAACAAAACTGAGTGTTAGAGTTGTTTGGTATTTGCTAAAAATCTCTCTCTAAAACGAAAGAAAGAAAGAAAGAAAACAGACACGCCAAACGAGGGATGGGACGAGGACAGGGTCCCCACCTGCACGAGCAGGATTTTGGAAGAACGATCAGGGGGACAGGTGGGGCTCTCCTGCTCCTGACAAGGGACACGACAGGCTCGCAGCGCGGTAAATAAAAAGAAAGAAAGAAAGAAAACACACAACCCAAGGGAGGGATGGGAGAACGGCACGCCGCCACCACACAGGGATTTTAAGGAGAGGAGTGTGGTGCGCTACCTAGCCGTCGCCCACCCTGGGGAGTCTGCCTCTTCGTATCTCTTTTCGCAGTCTCTCGCCGCTTCTCGCTGCAACCTTCATGCCGACGGCTCAGCCGAGTCGGGTCGGTAAAGCCCTCCCACTGTTCTTCGGTGGCACTGTCGCGAGACGGTTGGCCGATCGGAATCCATTAACTACTACGTGGAGTTCATCCCCTGATGAACGACTCATGGTCAGATTGCCCATCTCGACTGCCCGTTGTCAACATCACTAGGGAGATTTGATTGGCGCTGGCGCCTGCTGTTGACAAGTGGGATCATCTGGCTTCCGGAATACTTCCGCGAAGCTGCCCCCAGCAGGCGTTTGACCAAGATCCAAATTTCCCTACTCCAGTTGAGGCTGCCCTCGGACCCGAGAAGGTCTTTTCTCGCAGCTGCGAGACATGCTTTCTCGGAGCGGGGCATCCAAAACAACAGGGCGGAAGGGAGGGGTGACCATACGCGCAGCGCAGGAGGGGTGCCCCTAAGGGGGCACAAAGGTAGCTCAAAGGGGAGTGAACAAGACGCCGCACAGGCGACGTGCACGCTCGCCGCCTGCGCTCGCCGCGTCGCTCTCTCCCTCCCCTTCTTTGCTTGAACCCACCACCATCCCCTGTCACCTCCGTGTGTGTGTGCCTGCTGGGGGATCATCTGGCTTCCGGAATACTTCCGCGAAGCTGCCCCCAGCAGGCGTTTGACCAAGATCCAAATTTCCCTACTCCAGTTGAGGCTGCCCTCGGACCCGAGAACGCGATCGAGCCAACCACGGTTCCATATTTTCGCACGGGTTCGAGATCGATGTTGGCGTTGTCGCTTCTGCTCGCGGGAGCATTCGCCGCCGGCCTCCTGGCGACGCCCCCTGGCGCGTCGCTGCATGCGTCGTGCGCTCCGCGCCGCGCCGCGGCCGTGGTGATGGGCCGCAAGGGTCGGCCGCGCGCGCCCGGCGGCCCGGGCGGCGGCGCCGTGGGCGCGATGCCTCAGCAGGAGTTCCGCGAGCCGGACGCGCCGCCGGACGGCACGCCGCTCTTCTACCTCTACGCGCGCAACCCAAAGACGCGCGTGATGTGGTATCCCGTCTCGGTGCTCCGCGGCGACGGCCAGTCGAAGGGCCTCGTGGGAGCTTGGCTCGGGTCGCCGCTGGCCAAAGGCGTCTTCAAGGAGCGCCTCGACGAGGGTGTGGCGCGCTCCATCTTTGAGAGCGAGCGGCGGCTGACCGACATGGCGCGGCAACAGTATCCCGCAATCAAGAAGCTGCCCAGCCTCGAGTGGGGCTACAAGATAGTCGCGACCGGCGTGAGCACTGCGGTGGCAAAGGGCGAGCTGCCAGAGCAAAAGGTGCAGATGGTGACCAAGGAGCTGATGCAGCAGGAGTCGTGGGCCGACAAGGCGCAGAAGGCGGCCAAGTCCATGCTCGGCCAGGCGTGAGGGAGTGTCGTGTTGGGAGGCGGAGGGTTGGGCTCTTATACACGTATAGGGAGGCGACTAGGGAGGCGATGTGTGCGTGCCGCGTTGTAGTTCAATACTAACATGCCATGTCATGTTTCGGCGATTCTGCAGCATTTCCTACCGACTTGTAGCGTAGTCTAGAGGGCTCAGCCAGAGTCAAAGCCTCCCCTGTGCTCCTCTGAGTCTGACCTCTCTCGCGCGCGCGTTATACGGAGCCCCGCTCGCGCGCACCCGTCCGGCCGTGAGAGCTTGCGCACCAGAAACTACAGAACGCGTCTCGATCGGGAGAGCCAGACTCATCAGACACACACGACACACGCGCAGGGCGGGAACGCACATCACACACTTGCAACCAACTGTCCACTACAATAAGCAACATGCCGTGTACCTCATGCCCCCCCTCCCCCCCCCCCCCCACCCGCCCCGCAACCCTCTCCTGGCATCACACAAGGTACGCGCCCGGCCCGGGTACGTCAGCGGCCGCCTTGGTCGCGGGCGTCCACCGGCCACTGCTCGATGAGAAGGAGAACGACGCGCCCGAGGCGTTGCGAGACAGGACCTGCTTGCCCACGCCGTCCTGGAGCTTGTAGCTCGCTGGAGCAGGCGAATCGCGACCCCTACTCGCCGCCAGGGCGTGTTCGCGCGAGAGATACCGCCGCTGCTGGTTCTCGCGGCTCGATGTGCCGAAGCCGAAGGCCGGCGGAGAGGAGTGCGGCGAGAGAAACTGGCGTCCGACGGCGCACACGACTGGCTTGTAGATTGGGCCTGGCGCGCTGTGCTGTCGGGCAGGCGGGAAGCGCTGCGACGTTCCAAGGCGGTACCCCGGAGCGGAGCACTTACGAGAGTGCTGCTGCGACCCGAACGAGCCGGGGAGGCTGTACTTGGCAGGCGGCGACTCTGCGCCAGCCTTCATCCGTGCCATCTCCTCCGAGACGTACACCTTCTCCCCATCCTCGCGCGGCATGCTGCCAAAACCGTACGTTGCTGGCGACTGCCAGGAAGAGACTGACTGCCGCCCAAACGTGGCGTGTGCAGGATACGTGCCCGGCCCTGGCGTCGAGCACCTCTTGGCGGAAGGGAAGCGTTTGGACGTTCCAAACTGCGTCGCCGGTGCGGTGCGAGAGCGAGCCTCGGGCTGCGTGCCGACTGAAGACTGCACGCTGTACACTGGCCCTGGCGTCGTCGGATTCCCCGTCACCTTAGCATGCTCGCGCGAAATGAACGCTTTCGACATCTGCGATCTGGTGCTGCTTCCAAAGGAGAAGGAGGGGGCAGTGCGCCTCATTGAGAGGGGCTGCTCGCCCATCATGCTCCGTGTCGCGCTGCTCGAAGGCCGAGAAGGCAGGGACGACGCACTGCGGCTGGCGCTCCCACTTGTGCTTGGCCGTGTCACCATGAATGCGCGCTCGTTATGCAAAAGT